AAGAAATAAAAATTTTTGGACACGAAGGAGAATAGATACAAAATATCAAAAAAAAAAAAAAAACTCCGAACATTATGAAGCCAGGTGTAAGTCAAAAGCTTTTAGCATTGAGTACCTACATTTAAAAAAAGAAGAAAGATCCAAAATAAATAATCTAATGTTATTTCTCAAGACCCTGGAAAAACAAGAACAAACCCATTCCAAAGCCAGTAGAAAACAGGAAAAAAATAAGATTAGATATACAATAAATATAATTGAGAATAAAAAAAATATAAAGGGTCAATTCATAAAGAGTTGGTTTTTTGAAAAGATGAATAAGATTTATAAACTCTTATCCAAACTAACCAAAAGAGATAGAGAGAGAAGATCCAAATTAACAAAATCAGAGTGAAAAAGAAGATATTATGACAGACAATTCTGAAATCCAGAGGAACATTAGAAACTATTCTGAAAATTTATACTCCATTAAACTAGAAAATCTAGAAGATATTTACAAATTTCTCTCTGTATATAACCTACCCAACCCAAATTGAATCAGGAGGTTATAAAAAACATAAATGTACCAGTATCAGACAACAAGATTGAAGAAGGAATAAAAAGCCTCCTAACAAAGAAAAGTCCAGAACCAAATGGATTCTTAGCCTACTTCTAACAGCCTTTTAAAGAACTAATGCCAACCCTCCTCCAATTATTCCATGAGATGGGAAGGGCGGGAACATTGCTAAATTCATTCTTTGAAGCCAGAACCCTAATACCAAAACCAGAAAAAGACACATCAACGAAAGAAAACTACAGAATATTAACCCTGAYGAACATAAACACAAAAATTCTCAATAAAATATTAGAAATCTGTACTTTAAAACACATAAAGAAGAGTGCATACCATGACCAAGTTGGTCTCATTTCAAGGATACAAAGTTGGTTCAACATAYGTAAATCAATGTAATTCATCACATAAATAGAGATAAGGACCAAAATCACATGGTCATCTCAAAAGATGCAGAAAAAGTCTTCAACAAAATCCAGTACCCATTCATGTTGAATACACTAGAAAAACTAAGGATAGAAGGAACTTAACCTTAATATCAAGCAGTATATATAAACTATAAACCTAAAGCGAACATCATACTGAATGGAGAAAAACTTAAATAATTTCCTCTAAAATAGGAACAAGAGAAGAATGCCCACTGTCACCACCCTATTCAAGATAGTTCTTGCCAGGAACAGTGGTGCACACCTGTAATCCTGGTGGCTTGGGAAGCTGAGGCAGGAAGATCACAAGTCAAAGCCAGACTCAGCAATTTYGTAAGGCTCTAAGCAATTTAGCAAGACCCTGTCTCAAAATAAAAAATAATAAATGGACTCAGGATGTGGCTTAAATACTCCAGGTTCAATCTCTGATACTCCCAAAAATATTAAAATAAAAATATAAATAAATAAATAAATATTAAAAATATAGTTGTTGAAACTCTAGACAGAGCAATCAGGCAAGAGAAGGAAATTAAAGGGATGTAAATAGGAAAATATGTCAAGTTACCTATATTTGTTGATGACATGATCCTATACTTAGAAGACCCAAAAATTTCCACCAGAAGACTTCTAGAACTGATAAGCAAATTCAGCCAAGTAGCAAATTCAAGACCAACATACAAAAATCAGTCTTTCCTATACTACAATAATGAATTTTCTGAGAAAGAAATAAGGAAGACAATTTTATTCACAGTTGCTTAAAAAAATTAAAGACTTACTAAATCTAACAAAGGAGGTAAAAGACCTCTACAGTGAAAATTATAAAACACTAAAGAAAAAAATTGAAGAAGAACTTAGAAAATGGAAAGGGCTACCATGCTCTTGGACAGGAAGAATTAATATTGTCAAAATAGCATATTACCAACAGCAATATACAGATTCAATGTGATCCCCTCCAAAGGACATTCTCCACAGACTAGAAACACACTCCTAAAACTCATATGAAAGAATAAAAGACCCAGCACAACCAAAGCAGTCCAGATCAATAAGAATAATGCTGGTAACAACACCTGATATTAAATTATACTACAAGGCTATACAGTAACAAACACAGCATGATGTTGACGTAAAAATGGACATGAAGACCAATGGAATAGACTAGAAGACTAGAGATGGATGTAGATATAGATATAGTCATCTGATTCTTGACCAATGTGCCAAAAATATACACTGGAGAAAAGATAGCATTTTTAATAAATGGTGCTGGGAAAACTGGCTATCCATATASAGAAGAATGGAACTGAATCTCAATCTCTTACCCTGCACAAAATTCAACTCAAAGTGGATGAAAGACCTARGAAATAGACCAGAAACACTGCCACTGCTAGAAGAAAATAGAGAGTCAATATTTCAACATACTGGAATAGGTACCACCTTCCTTAATAAGATTCCTAAAGCTCAAGAAATAAAAGCCAAAAATCATTAAATGGGATKGCATCAAATTAAAAAGCTTCTGCATAGAAAAAGAAACATTTAAAAGTGAAGAAAGAGCTTACAGAATAGGACAAAATCTTTGCCAGCTACTCTTTCAACAGGAGATTAATATCCAGAAAACATACAGAACTTAAAAACTTAACACCAAAAAAAGAGAGAGAGAAAGAAATCCACACAAGTAACCATATCAATAAATTGGAAAATGAACTAAACAGACATTTCTCAAAAGAAGAAATGCAAATGGCCAACAAATATATGAAAACATTTTCAACATYCTTAGCAATTAGGGAAATGCAAATCAAAACTATACTGAGATTTCATCTCCCTCCAGGTAGAATGGCAACCATCAAAAACACAAATAATGACAAATGCAGGAGAATAAGTAGGGGAAAAGGTATACTATGCACAGTTTGTGGGACTGCAAATTAGGACAACCACCTTGGAAGGCAGTGTGTAGAGTCCTCAAAAGACTAGGATAGAATCCCCATATGGCCCAGCTCTCCCAATCCTTGGAATACTCAGCCATAAAGAAGAATAAAATTATGTCATTTGCTCGTAAAGGGATGGAACTGGAGAACATCAAACTAAGTGAAATAAGCCAGACCAGAAAGTCAAGGGTCGAATGTTTTCTCTCGTGCACAGAAAATAAAGAGAAATGAGAAATTTTAAAAAGGGGAGATCTCATGAAAATAGAAGAGAGAACTGTGGAAGAAAGGGATTAAAGAGAGGGAAGAGGGGTGGAAAGAGGGAGAAACCATGAAATGCAACTGGCCAAATTAAGTTATGCAAACATAGGAATATATCATAGTGAATTTCATTTTTATGTATAACTATAATGTACCAATTCAAAAATAAATTGTGTCAACATACTTTATATACAACCAGAGATGTGAAAAATCGTGCAGTATATGTGTGAGAATTGTAATGCATTCCTCTGTCATTTATTTTTTTAATAAATTTTAAAATTAATTAATTAATAGAAGGAAGACCAATAGAATAGATGACAGGGCTCAGAGGAAGGAGGAAGTAAGGAAAGGGGACAGCACTGGGGATTGAAATGGAGAAAATTATGTTATATCCAATTATGAAAATGTCAGCGTGAACCCTGCTATAATCCACTAATAAAAGCATGAATCAATAAAAATAATACAGAACTTTTAAAAAAGCATCAGGACAGTCAATAATTTCCTCAGTAAATGATGGATGATATATAAAGTGTTACAATGGCAAACGAAGAAAACTTTCTTCTCAAACAAAAGAAGTGAAACAATAATAATGATGATAATGCTCAATACTGGCAAGGATATGGCAAGAAAACAGCACTCTGAAGAAGCAATAGCATGAAAACAATTGTTGCAAGTTGTCTAGAAAATTAGTTGGTCTTAAAAAATGTTCAGATGTACTTTTATCCAATAACGAACTTCAGATCATTTGTACCAAGAAAACAATATAAATGAAGAGAAATAATTATATAAAAAATGCAAATGTTAGCATTATTTCTAGTAGTGTAAAATAAGCAGAACCCCATTGGTAGTTGGAAAATGATTAAATAAATTTTATTTTCCCACCAGCCAATCCTCTTCCTCCTTCCTCCAAGAGGCTACCATGAAGCACCTGTGTCTCACCCCAGGAGTCTTCTGGTTACAATTTCTCAAAACATTTTCTTCCATGATTTCATAACACTTGTCAAACTTATATACCACATAGTATAATACACAACATACCATAACATCATGTCTAATAKACAATAAGATATAAGAAAATATTCCATGATATCAACACTAGCCAGGTTCTAATAATGTAAGCAGGATGTTTTCCTTCCTATTTGTCTATATTAGAATTTGGTCATATTGGTCTATGTCATATTTGTCCACATCCAAACTTTTTGACAAATGGAATGTATTATTTCTATAATAGAATAATATATAAATCCTAGAGGAAATCACAGGAGCAGAGGACAGCAAAGGAGTACAGAGAGCATAGGGGAGACCTGGCCACTGGCCACTGGCCACTGCTGTAGTACAGGAGCTGAGGGCTGGGAAGGCAACAGGCTTTCTCTGCAAGCAAATGTGGGGCTTTCAAGACTGTGAATGGGTGGAAGGGTGAGGTGGCCAGTGTTGCACCCTAGGAAGATCTCTCCAACAAACTACAGCCAACGGAGGACGGGCAATCCAGCCCACACCTTGTTCGTAAGTGACACTGCACCTGCTCACTCACATATGGCCTGGGACTGCCTTCAGGCTATAATGGCAGCTCTAAGTAGTTATGACATGGGGGTTTGACCCTAAAGGTAAAATATTTACCACCTGGCCCTTGGCAGAAGCAGCCTCTGAACCCTGGTGGACAGGGTGTTTTAGAGAAGGGAGAAACTACAGGAAGCCAGGAGATGGTGATAAGGGCTGGCATTGTAAAGGTGCCAACAGATGAGTTTTAACAAATGTCTGCATCTCCTGACAAATGGATGAAGATTATGGGATGGGAGGCATTCCCATTTTCAAAGGTCACCGCATTTTTTAAGAAAAGACAGCGACCATTACCTGAAGGATCAGAACTGTAGAGACTGGCAGCTGTTGTTATGGGTCCCGGTGGGTGGATGGCACTTGCTGAAGACCTCTGACTCGCTATCAGAATCCTGCTCTTTGCAGAGGGTAGGCGGGACATGGCACCCAGTCCCAACTGGGGCTTCAGAAGCATGGCTGACCGATAGAAAGTCGGAGGGACTTCGTAGTGAGTGTAGGGAGGAGAACAAAATTCTTCTTTTCCAGGATGGTCTGTCACCTACAACAAATGATTAAAAGCTTGGTCAGGATCTTCATACCACAGTGTGACACTAAACAGGGTCAGGAGACTCAGGTTCAAACAACATCCACTCTGGTACCACTGAGGGGCTTGATTGCAAATCTCTTCCAGTCTCTGAGCCTCGGCGTCTTCATGCCTAAGTTGACAACTAGATGATCTCTTGGATTGTTCTAGGAATCTATATTCCTTTGGGAGAAAATATKAACTCCCTCTATAATCTTTAATTCCATGGTTACAAAATCACTGGAATTGGAATCAGCATTCAATCTTTAAATAAATAATGGCAGTGAAACAAGAATATAGCAAATGTTCACAAAATTATGAAACTTTCACCACACCTGTGGAGTAAAGGTACCATTGTGAATATAACTTTGTCTTAAAATAAGTAGATAAAACTTATTAATTTATATTGTCTTTACTTGGCTATGTATAAAACAAAATGTGCATTGTTATTAAGGGAGAAATGGCTATTCGGAGAAAATAAAGAAATTATAATGTTACTGTTACTTTTCCTGTACTTACCAGTTTGGGCTGGAATAGAACTTGTAGGTAGGTATATACCATTTATAAAGYAATCCTGTTTTCCCAATGTCTGTTTGCACAACTAGTRTTTCTTTCTTTATTTTATTTTTATTTTTTGCCATCCAGAGGATAGAACCCAGGTCTTGCATATGCTAGGCAAGCACTATGCCACTGAGCTACTCCCCAGTCCATCTCTTCTTTAAATCAAACCAGAAAAAAGAATCAGAACTACATACTTACTTTCTTAAGTTATAATGGGGGGAAAAAACGTGCTAGGGGCAATATGTGAAAAAATACATCTGTAAACTGTGCTCAAAATCACAATGCATTTTATGTGTCAAACATCTATTTATTCAAGAATCACAAATATTTAACAATATTCTTTAATAGGGGTTATAAAATATTTGATCCAAACTGTTGAAGAGGTAAACACTTAGTGTGATACTTCATTAATGTTGAAATAAAGTTCTCCTGAAAACTGACATTATTGAAACAAAAGATTAAGTGTTTAAGCTTTTATCATAACCACATTGCCTGACTGTTCGAGCAGATAGATGTATGTAACTCAGGCTAGTAAATTRTATCCCAGAGAAAGGGCATCTACATCTGCTGTCTAATAAATTTTTGTCCTTACTTTCTCACTATTGATCTCTAGATTTTTTTTCTTATATCCCTATACCCTCTGTTTTTTTTTAAATTTTAATTTCTAAGTTTTGAGCACTATTGCTCATTGCTTCGAGCAGGTGCTCTCATGGGGAATTAATATCAATTCCAACCCACATCAGTAGGGTTTTTAGTATTAAAATATGCTGGTTCTCAATAATTACTCAGTTCTTTGGAACTGGACACTTTTCAAAGGTCAAAACCCACCGCACTCTCACTCCAGAATGACTTTTATGATTTTGATAACTTCAATGCCTGTCATTTGATGGGGTAATTTATTTCTGGTAGGAGCATAAATTCTTCAAAAAGGCAAAAAGTGTGCCTTAGATGCCTGGTTTATGCATTTTTAATTAGACAAGGGAATCTACAAAAAGCTTCRTACTCCTTTCTTTCATCTTTACTGACAGAACATAACAGGGCACCCGGCACCGTCGTAAACATAGACATCAGTGCCAAGAGTTGCCCTTCCCTCCCCTTCTCCAGTGGAGGTTTTTAGAGAAAGAAATTTGAAAGCAAACGAAAGAACCGTATGATTTCAAACAAATTCCTAAAATCAAGGTATGCAAGCAAATACACTCTTCTTGTATTGTCCCCCTCCTAGCTCCCACACCCCGAGTTCACTGGGATTGTGGCTGGAGAGACACGGGGTAAATGAGGCCTYCCTGAGCAGCCACTGGGTCAGGGGCAGGGAGAAGGTGCCCGTGATGGTTAATATTATCATCTTTCAACTTGGGTGAGCCCCAGAGTCCCAGTAATGTTCCACCAACTAAAGGTTGCYGTGAAGATAATTCTTAGATGAGATTAGTATTTAAATCAGCAGACTTTGAATAAAGCAGATCACCCTTCACAGCATAGGTGAGCTTCCTCCAATCAGCTGAAGTCCTTAATTTAAAAAGACTGACTTCCTCTGAAGAAGAGGGAATTCAAATTCAAACTGTGGGACCACGTCTTCCCTGGGTGTCCGGGCTGCTGGCTCTCGGGCCTGCCTGCAGAATTTGGACATGCCATCTTCCACAGTCCCGTGAGACAGTTCTTGAAACACATTTGGCCCTTGATATCTGAAAGAGACTGGGTCCAGGGCGCACTGCGGATACCAAAATCCATGGACATTCAAGTCTCTTGTATAAAGTGGTAATATTCTTTACAGATACCCTACTCACAACTTCCCATATGCTTTAAATCTCTGGATGACTTATGATACCTAACACAATGTTAATACTATGGAAACATTGCTTTATTCATATTTTCAGGGAATATTCACAAGAAAAAACTCTGCACATTTTCAGCACACACAATTTCTTCCTGAATGTCTTCAATTCACAATAGGTTGAATCCAAGGATGTGGAACGCCTGCGTGTGAAGGGCTGATTATAAATCAGTTTCTGTGTACATGCATGTACATGTATGCTGATCTCTCTCTCGTGCGGGTGCTTACACACACACACACACACACACACACACACACACATACACACACACACACAATCTCCCATTGGTTCTATTTCTCTGGAGAGCCCTGATCATAACGGTGTCCCTCGGAGGTGGAACCAGGGAGTGGCGAGGGGACCCGCCCTGCACTGCACATCTGCAGACTGTGAGACACGACCTTCCCCTGTCCTTCCACTTCCTAGTCCCTTCTTCCCACCTCCCTTCCCCTTAAAATCACCAGTGGAAGAGTGTCCCTGGGACCTGTGGAGAGCCTAAAGCAGAGACCGGTATAAACAGGTGAGCATATTTCATTATCCTGACGTGATGATCTCAGAAGTCACTTCTGGAAACTCTCAATGTCTGCCGTTTCTGCCAAGCAACAAGAGGCTCCCTCACATGAGCACTTACTCTGGATTTCTCTGTCTTTATCCAAACTATCTAACTTGGGGGGGGGGGAATCTGTCAATAATAATGGGAAAACATGAAGCTAGTTTGGGTTTTTACTTTTAAGATTCTCCCACTTTATCAAAAATTATATGGCTTCAATCATGGAAAAGCATTTCTGTTGCAACCGGTCAGAAATGTGTTCTTTTCTCAGCGGCCGAATGGAGCCACTGGTGGAGAGCTCTGGACACACTGGCAGGGGAGGGTGGCTTTTGCATCTCCCTGCCCTGGGTCTGCTGGGTTCTGACAAGTTGCAGCTGTAGGAACAAATGCCCAAGGGCCAGGCTGCTTCTCACTTTTGATTAAAGAGAATTATCACAGAAATGAGTATCATGCCCAGGTGCCCAGGGCTCCCTGCTGCATACTGAGGCCTGAAGAAAAGACTGCACGGCCAGGATGCTCTGATTACAGCTGAAAATGGTCCCCAGATAGTGTGCCTGGCACAAGGCTGTGAGGCTTTCACCACTTCAACAGGGTCTCTCCCTCCGAACCACTAGTGCCACACACTTCCACACACTCCCACTCCCTCAAGGCTTTCTCCTTCCAGTTTTCTGGAGGAGGAAGGAAGAAAATGGTTTGGGGAAAAAACATGCCTATGGTAATCATTTTCAGAGAAAACAGAAGCAACATAGAAAAGGAACATACAGAAGAAAAACAAGAGGCCCCTGAGAAAGAATTGCCAATAGTAACAGGATATCTGTCCTCATCTCCAAATCAAGTTTTCCTCGTGAGCATGTTTGGCAGAGAGAAATCTCAGGTCCTTTCATGGAACGTCTGCAGTGATACTTTGAGAAGAAGGTGCCTGCAGGCCTCGGGAGGGTCAGCTCCCAGGGGCTAGTGGGAGTGCCCAGCAGCAGAGCATGAGGCTGGCCTTGGAGGCCCAGGTGAATGAGTATTTGAAAATTTGAGAATGACTCACCTTAGCCAAATTCAGAGACTGATGTATAAAACCAGAATGGCAGTTGGTCCAATGTTAGTGAGAAGCCACTGCCTAGAGCCAGACCCAAGGGTCATCTTGGCTAGAATATGATGTCAGAGGGTCAGTGCAGGAAAGGCCCATAATGAATAGGAGGCCATGCAGACAACACTGTGCAAGCCTGCATTCTTTAAGTGCTCTTTAAGGATGTCAGCACTTTCAATCAAGCTGGAGTCCAGCCTTGGACTCAATCATTCTATTTCTAGTCTTAGTGTATTATTGTTTGGATCCAGACACATATGGAGCTCATAAATGACCTGCCATTCAGGATTTGTGTATGTGTGGTGCTAGGGATTGAACCCTGGAGATCAAACACAGGCTAGGCAAGTGCTCTACCGCTGAGCTACACTCTGTCCCCATTCAAAATCTTTTGAGCATTCATTTACATCAAACACCATTATAAATTCTGAGAACCAGTAGGGAACAACACATTGAAAAGAATATTCACTTTGTGGAATTGACATTCTCCTCAGTGCAGAAATAACTGTATGTCAGACAGAGGAAAGTTATGGGAAGAAATACACCAAAGAACATGGATTCAGAGGGAAGGTGAGGGGATTGTGCAATGAGATGACATCTGAGCACAGACCTAAAGAAAGTGAGGGAGAGAGCCACTTGGATAACTGGGAGAACATTCCAAGCAGAAGGATGTGCAAAGGTCCAGAGGCAGCAGAGTGAGGAGTAGAAGGCGAGGAGGGTGGGTAGGTAGGTAATGCAGCCACAGGAAGCACATCCTAAAGGCTGAGCCATCCTACACATTCTGGGTTTTGTTCCAGGTGTCCTGGATAACCCTGGAGGATGTTAGAAAGAAGATGATCTGATTAACCTTCATTTTAACCCGGGCTCCCATGAAGAGGTCGTTTCAGCAGATTACTGAGGTCTTAGAGGATAACTTACCATAGCACCTGGGCACTGATGGGAMTAGCATGGAGCAGTTTGCAACTGCACAGGCTTGAGACTCAGTGCTGTCCTTGATTTGTAGCCTTAGGTGAACGGTTTACACCCCCCAAGTCCACATGTTCATATCTACAATAATAAACACTGTAATACCAACCTCCAGAGAATCACTGTAAGGGTGAGTGGAGACTGACAAAGACGATGCTAGGTGGGCCCAGAACATAGTAGACAATTAGCTAAATGTCATAATCATTTTTACTAAAAACAAACTAAAATCACATTATGTTCCGCTCATTCCCAATGTTCTTCACATGTATGAACAGGAGATTCTCCTAAAATGGAAATACTCTCCATCAGAGGATGTCTGTTCAATTTGAAGAGAATCCAATTATTTTGAATTCTTTCTTGCTTTAACCTGGCTTACAGAATTATGCTCACTTATTTAAACACGGAAACCAAATTAAATGCATACTTATCTAATTTCGTATGGGTCACACTAGGTGAAATTAAAATGGGTCTCTTTAGATGTTGGGTRTGTCTCATCTTGACATTCAACTTTTCAAGCCAAAACTATCCATTCCTCTAGATGATCTCCTCCCATCAAACCCATGGACTTCGGAGCTGGGGTTGTGGCTTGGAGGTAGAGTAATCACCTAGCATGCATAAGGCACTGGGTTCAATCCTCAGCACCACATAAAACATAAAGTAAAATAAAATAAAGGTATGGTGTCCACCTACAACTAAAAAAAAATAAATATTTTTTAAAAAATTTTTTAAAAGCATTGACTTCTATAAATGTATATGCATGAACATTGTCAACTTGCTTAGAGAGGATATTTTGTTTCCATGATGTATTAAACACCTGAAAGTCTTCATTGAAGACTTTCGGACACACAACTTATAGGTCATATCAGAGGGACAATCTCTTACCTCCTGCAAAAACTTTTCACTTATTTGACTGAAGTGATGTCCTGGGGGCTTGATGCCAGACACCATCAACCCAGAACTGAAGACCCTTGGCTTCTGCAAGTCTGGCTTGAATTTCTCATAGAGGCTAGCTGATGGCTTCAGGTCTCCACTTGCCACCTTGTCCTCCGGGGGAAGAGGCATGCTACATGCTGGTGGGGCATAGGGAAGCCCCACGGGGACCAGTGAAGTGTCCACCTGGCCCAGGGCTTGTGGATTCCTCCGGATGTAGGTGATGATCTTGGGCCTCACATGCTTGGGCTTGGGCATGATGATGGGCTTCACGTCTGTCCTCTCTTCTGTTTTTTCAATCTGATGCTTCTCCATTCCTTCCTCTGAGGAAGGTGTGTCCTTGGAAGGCGCAACAACAGGCTTAGGGATCCCACTGGGGCAGGTGTTCTTCTCAGGCACTTTGGGGGATGTGTTGAGCAGCCGCACACTGTCAGTGGCGGGTGGGACTGCTGAGGGTGACCCTGCGTTCACACTGAACACACCAAGGTCCTGAAAACTGCTACTGGGTGGCGTGGGCTGGTGGGTCGTGTTCACAGTTGTCTCTGGGTGGAGAGGAGYCGGGGTACTGAGACTTGACTCTGCTCTTGATGGGGTGATTTCAYTCTTGGCTGCATCTTCTGGAAGATTCCCACTTTCCACCATGGGTACTRTGGTCTCTTTTTCCCCTGCTTCTAAGCAGCTGCTTTGAGGGTTCGGGGACTCCRTTTTGCTCTCTCCGGGAGAAGGATCTGAGGCCAACACCATGGTCCTTTCCCTGTTCCCACTGCCCATCCTCTTTGTCTCCTCRCTGACATCCAAGGGCTTGCTGTCCGTCAGGTCATTAGGAACAAAAGCTACGTGGCCATCACTGGGCAAAAAGTTGCTGGATGCCATTTCCTTCAACTTCTTACCTATACTCGGTGACACTTTGCCAGTGGGAAGATTTCCAGCCACCTCCAAGGAAGCAGGACCCTGTTTGGGGGTGATCTGGAGAAGACCCTCCACCCCGGCACCGACTCCTGCCTTCTCCTGGCTGTTGCCTCCTTCCCCCGCAGGATGGTGCTGGCTGCCATTTGAAGCGTTGCTAACTGCAAACATGGCTTCTTTGTGTGCTTCCCCACGTGACTCCTTTCTGTCTTGGTGTGACATACTCTCTTCCTTGCGACACCCCAGACCCCCTGCCTGGGTCGACTTTAGCTCCTGCCCGGTCCTGGATTGAACATATTTCAGTTCCAGCTTTGGTTCCCCCTTCCCCTGACCTAATTGTGCTTCTGGATAACTCAAGGTTTCCTTCAATGACAAAGTCGAATTCAGAGCAGGGTCTGCATGGGCAGCATGTGATGCGTGCTCGTGGCAAACATTCAGTCTGTGTGCACCCTCTGTCGGGGTCTCTGAGGGACTGGTCTCCTTGGCTTCTGAGGTAGATGGTTTAGGAGGACGCACACTCTTTCCCTCTGAGGTATTATCAGCTGGAAGGAAAGCTGCCCCTGGAGAGTGGTCAGTCCATGTCCTCTGTGGCCCTTCTCCACCTCCAGGCACATGACCCCGGGGCTCAAGGGCATCCAGTTGTGCAGGCTGCTGATGCTGCAGAGTCAAGCTCCCAAACGCAGCTGCAGAGCTGCTAGCTCTTTCCAAAGAATGCCTTTTCAATTCCTCATTGTCCAGGGTCTTTGCCAACTTATCCTTGGGAACGTGCCTGGGAATTTCAACATCSCTTTTAGCCAGAACCTCTAGACTAGCCTCACCCATTACAGTCCTCCAACTTGACAGGCTTGGTCCCTGCACACTCCGAGGGTTCTGCAGGAAATCTGTGCTTCTCTCCATCGTATGCTCTTCAGGTAGCTCCCTCTGGATGGTCGCAGAAAGTTTAAAATCTTTCAAACTGGTGGAGGCAGCCTGAGGTCCTTTCCCAAAGCCCTGATATTGGTGAGGTTCCTTAAGGAAGTGGGTGTGGTGTTCTAGCCCACCTGAATTTGCATTTCCAATTTCATCCACCAGGTCCTGTGTCTCTGACTCACCCTGAGAGGAGCTGACCTCCAACATGATTTGATTGGCATTTGTATCTCCCAGACTTAGGATGCTCTCATTATTGTTTTTCGCACCATTTCTGTTGTCCCGCAACTGATTGAAACACGATTTCTTGGGAGCTGCTGGGACRCTCATTGTCAACCCTTCAGTGGGGACTGCTGGCCATGCAGTCCTGCTTGATGGAAAGGGGATTCCTTCAAGCTGTGATGTGATGAACAGGAAATCCTCAAGCTGTTTGTCCTCCTCTGACCATGTCACATTGCAACACAGCTTTGATCATTTTCAGAAGTTGTTCAACCAAGCATGGTCTTGATACACAGCAGAAGGACTTATCTGTTAGGTTCCTGCTGAACGAAAGCCAATTAGTCCATCAGACCTGGAGAGAAATAAAAAAAAAAAATGCATTCGTGTTAGATTAACAAGTAGAGATACTTGGAACACAGGGTAAGCACAGATGTGTTCCTCACTTCATACTGTTCTTTCCTTCATTTGATAATTTTTTTTTCAAAAACTTTTCTGATACGGGCTCCTGCTGGCCAAATATGGAAAAACAGAAACTTCAAAATGACAAATGTGTGTATATACATGACTGCATAACCAACATGATTCCATAACCTGTACGCTCAGAAAAATGAGAAATTATATCCCCTCTGATTCAAATGTATGCTATGTCAAGATCATTGTACTGTCAMGTGTAACTAATTAAAACAAATTAAAAAATTATAAAAAATKACAAATGTCAGAAATGTGTTATAAATAAATGCATACTCTCTTAAATTTAAAYATTTTAAAAGTCCACAAGCATATACTGATTAGAAAATGTAGAGGAGAAAGAAAGGTTCTTCTTCAGAGAAAAATATCAACTGATGCATAGAAAATTACAGAATTTGAAAAACCACTATTTGGTAATCACCAGAGCAATAATTATCTAAGTCAGGACACAGAGAGACAGTAGARACAAAGGGTAAAATGTCACTGGGGAACAAGATATTCATAGAATCTCAAAGWATCACCCCCCGGACTAACTTATTTCCCACAAAAGAGAAATTTTACCAATACAACAGAGAAATCTGGTGCACAGCATCATAACTAAATGATCAAATTTAACACCATTGATAATGGAAATGGACATCATGTGTTCCTCCCGTGAGGTATTTTCCGTGTTTTATACCACCTTAGTAGTACTCCTGCATGAATGTTCAGCCTGAATTTAATCAAAAAGAAATAATCAGACAAAGTCAAAYTGAGGAATGTTTTACAAAATAACTGACCTAACTGACCCCCAAAATGCAAGCAGATCCTGGGTTTCTTCTYGTTGTTGTTAGCAAAGGACATTATCGGAACAATCAGAGACTTAGATACAGATTGTGCKTTAGGTGACAGTATTTCATCAACATTAATGCTCAGTGTCCAATAACACGGATTATTCAGAGATTATCTCTGTTCTTGGAAAAATATTTGCTTTAAAATTTAGGGGGTAGAATGATATAATCTCAATTTAGCAAAGTGTACGAGAGAGAGAGAGAGAGAAACTGGCAAATATAAACCATTTGAAATTCTAGGTAATTGACTTTACCTTTTCTGAAGATATTTTGAGAGGAAAAAAAAGAGAAAGGCCACATCTTCATAAATGATATTACAATRTATTGTTATAATGACTCTATTATCACTCATTGTTGTTCATCTCTTTCTGGGCCTAATTTATAAGATAAATATTACTATGAGTATGCATTTCTTATGATTTGGATCTGAAATGTCCCTAAAAGCTCATGCATTGAAGGCTTGGTCCCCAGTACAGCAGTGTTCAGAGGTGGCCCTTTGGGAGGTGATCGGGCTGTCAGGGCTCTGGCCTCATCAGTGGATTAATCCATTGATGAATTCATACCTTAATGAACTGTTGGGAAGTGGTGGGAACTGTAGCAGGAAGTAGGTCATTGGGGGTGTGTCCCTGAAGGACATGTTTTGTCTCTGGTCCCTTCCTTCTTTACTTCTCTTTGTTTCGAGGCCACCGTGATGTGAGCAACTTTGCTCCACCACATATAACTCCTCATTGTCAAGGGTTTTGCCACTAGGATGTCTTGCCTTGCCACCAGCCAAAGTAATGGGGTCAAGAGACTGAARCCTCTGAAACTGTGAATCAAAATAAATCTTTCTTCTTTTAAGTTGTTTTTTTTTTCCCTCAGGTATTTTGTCACAGTGGCTATTACAATTTGTGTAGGAGAAAACACAGTATAGGCTTTGCTGCTATCTGCAGCTCCCAGCATCTACCAGGGGTCTCTGGATGTATCTGCTATAAATAAGGGTGAGAACTATATAAATGAACACCAGAGAACCCCTCACCCAACTCAAAGATCTTGCAGGTACTCCAGTATCCCTCTCCATCACAGCCCCCTAACTTATGAGATGAACTTCTGGTTTAATATCTTACCATGTGGCTGATAGAACTCTCTTTTTTCCTCCATTCATTTCTTTTGCATTGATACCTAAGCATGTRTTATTTTACCTAAGTGAAATTCTTCCCTAGAAGCTGTTGGATTTTTCTGGTCAGATTTTTTTTTTTCTAATTTGTCTATTTTCCCCTTTACCCTAAGAAACATTAAGACACCCRTCTAGATCTTTCCTTCTCTTCCCATGTCCATGTGATCCTGGATCCTGGGGAACACACACACACATGTACATGCACAGGTGCATTTTTATTCCCTGCTGTCTGCTCATTTGCTCTTTCCATGTCTCACTTGTGGTCCTCATCCTCCACACTCCCTCATTCTTTTTCTCCTTCTCTTCTTCTGCTCCCAGACCTATCTTCAGAAAGCCAGTGGCACCCCCAGATGTAGACTGACCCTCAAACAAGGGGCTGATACCSGATCCCAGTCTTAGTTTCCTGACACAAGAGCAGATTCTCTACAACTTCTGTTTATTTATTCAATTTTGAATATGTTTCCCTTGAAGATACACACATCCTCTGGGCACGAGTACAAACAGCATGTACGCAAATCGATAAGACAGCTATTTAAAAGAACGTTGTGCTCTCTGGGCTAGGAAATGGGTGTCCCAGAAAGCCCAAGGAGATCAAGAACTTCCACAAAAAGGCAGCCCCTCAGAGCTCTCTGCGGAGAGACATATAAACGTGAGGCCAAGGGCTCTCTGGTTTGAACTGTGTCAGCTGGGAGAAAGAAATAAGTTCTGTTCAGCAGGGAGAAACAACAGAATATCATGAACCACAAGGCACAATATAATTGCTAGAAAATGACAAGCAGGGATAAATCAGTGTCTTGCTAGAAAAAAAAATTGTAAAAATTAATTTTATAAGAGTKACATCATAGACATTCTTGATCAGTAGACAGTAACTATTGCTCATTAATAAGGGGGTGGAAAAGTAAACCTTCCAGAGGCCACGGATAATTCTCAATAGAGAGACATGTGTAAAATTTAATTTTAAAATTACAGTTGTATGATTTTCTATGGTTTTTCTCTTCTGATACTCATGTGGAAATTTCTTCCCCATTGTGAGATATKAAGAAGGTGGAAACTTAATCCAACTATGGTGTCTAGAGGTRGAGCCTTCAGGAAGTGAGTAGTACTTAAGGTCATCAGGATTGTGCCCCAGTGATTGAATTCTTGTAATTCTCCCTTTAAAAGAAGAGGGAGAGACCAGGGCATACACAGGCACACTCCCAGTGCTGTGGTTTGGAGCTAGGGTCCCCCAAAAGCTTTTGTATGTGATGATGCAAGGGTGTTCAGAAGTGAAATGATCAGGTTGTGAACACTGGAACCTAAYTGGTATTAATTCACTTGAATGAACTAACTGGGTGGCAACTGTAGGCAAACAGGATGTGGCTGGAGGAAGTAGGTCACTGGAGGCATGCTTTGGGTTTATGTTTTGTCCCTGGTRCACACTTACCCCCACCCTCTTTCCTCCTCTGTCCCTCTCTCTCTCTTCCCTTCCTGGTTTCCATGTTCTGAGCTGCTTTCCTCTTCCATGCCCTTCCACCATTA